TATTTCATAATAAATGGAGTTTATCCCACACAGATGGACTTCCATTATCTTCCTTTTGATATATAAATTTCAAAGAAACCTCAAACATGCACTGCACCACTAAAGATTCCCCATGCATTGTACTACTATTAGCCAGTTCACTGTAGCTTTTTTTTTAAATCAGCATACGTGAAAAGAGTTTCATAGGTTTAAGATTTCAACACCTCTAGCAATGCTTTCTGCATTCAACATGATGACGGTTCAACGGTATTACACCACAGTACAAGAGAAATGTAAGCCAACAAGCTAAGGCAGTTTGCTGACAAACTGTATTCCTTTTTTGAGAAAGAAGAAGTACTTAATACTTTAATTATTACAGTACAAGAGAATTGTAAGCCAACAAGCTAAGGCAGATTGCTGACAAACTGTATTCCTTTTTTGAGAGAGAAAAGGTACTTAATGCACAGGTAGTTACTTCTGAGTGACCATGATTGGATTACTGACAGGATACAAATTTACCGGCATTTACAAGTATGATGATGATCCAGCTAGAGGTCAGTATAAATAATTAACGTCTGGTTTGACAGCAGGGTAGGGACCCTCTGGCCTATGTCAGACGTTAGGGTCTAGAAATGGACAAAGCTCAGGCCTTAAATTAATAAAGTTACAATTATGCAGTTCACTCTTCCAGTATAACTAACTACTGTACAAGTTGTTTGCTATGGATGTGTGACATGAAATGAGCTTAAAAGGCTAAAGAAACAATGTCTTTAGGCCACACCAATTTAATTTCTTGGTTAACGGATTTTTCTAGAAAAATAATGGAGCGGGCGGGCGAAAAAAAATAAAAATAAAAACAGGCCTAGGCATCCTATTATGGCCCAAAATGGTACGATAGGAGTCATGAAGTCAACACATCAGGATGGTTGACAAAATTTAAACAATAAATTTTGAACTTTTAATGATACCACTGCATTGAAAGATGGAATAACTGTAACAACTAGGAAGAAAAGGACTGTTTTCAACTGTTCAGGGCAAAATATGAGCATTTTGCAGTTGATTCTGAATTTTTTATTTTTTTTTGCAAATCAGAAAAAAATGAAGCGGGCGAATCTGTTAACCAAGAAATTAAATTGGCGTGGCAACTACTCTTTTCTAGGCAAGCATATACATGTACATGTATATATAACAATTTGAACTACTGTGCAGCATGCTGCACAATAGATTAATTGTAAGTGACAAGACTGTGAAGGAGGTATAAAAACTGTTCAAAATTGTAATCTTCTACTCCTATAAGGTCTGCATTCAGAAGAAGGTGGTTATACTTTTAGTGAAGGATGTCTGTTTATAACCCCTTGGTTTGCTGAGACTGTGGGAGTACTGCAGTTGGACATGTTGTGCTTTGCTGTTTGTGGCAAGTATAGTCTTCTTGACTGAATCACAGGATAGGAAGAGGCTGTATATACAGGCCAGTGCTGACGCTGCAAATCATAGGACAAGTTAGATGGTTGGCACTAGTAGCACACGGTTTGCAATGTCATCAATCACTACTGGGACGAAACTATTTTCAAGGATATCATGGGGGTGACTGTGAATCATCTGCCATCTTCTGACTTCATCATCATTGCACTAACTGGAATGTACCATCTCTGTCATAGGGTGACAGGGATTGTATTTTATATTTTGGGAGAACATGAGGCTAAATGAACTCTTCTATCTACATGGATATAAAGGGGGTTATTGGAACTGGCATCACCTTTAATTAACCTTCTCCATGCTGCATCAGAGGAAATGTACAGGAGGACAAAATTGGTACCAAACAGCTACCTCAGCAGGCTGAAGGTTAAAGTAAATGGGACTATACTGTTAGAATTTGATTTGTAACTGTACCATCCCGTTTTTGCACAGATGATTTGAAGTCATGACAGTAGCAGAAGTAGTAGTAACAGTAGTAGCAGTAGTAGTAGCAGTAGTTGTAGTAGTAGTAGTAGTAGTAGTAGTAGTAGTAGTAGTATCTGTATCTGTATAGCCAGTATAACCGCCTTTCGGCGTAACACACCAGCTTAGTAGTAGTAGTAGTAGTAGTAGTAGTAGTAGTAGTTGTAGTAGTAGTAGTTGTTGTTGTAGTAGTAGTACTGTAGTAGATGCTGTTATTGTTGTAATAGTAATTGTAGTAGTAGTTGTCATAGTACTAATTGCAATAGTAGTAGTACCAGTATTCCTAGTACTAGTACTGTGTTAAATTATATCATGTGTTGACACTAACTGACAGTGATGAGCACGAGCCCAACATTGTCTGGAGTCAAGTGAGGACATGATGACAGCAGACATACCTATTTGTTTGATTGATTATCTGTGAAGCCTCTGCCTGTCCTGCATTGGCATGTTGCCAATATTGTTCTAGGGTGTTCCAGATATTTGCCCTGGAGAGTTTTTGCTTGACACAAAAGGCTAGTGTTGCATGGTGCTGAGATGTTTACCATGGACTGTAGCTAGTCGTCAATTATCAGGGCTGGAAAGTTCTGTAACCTTGCTGTAAGTTCACTGGCAGGCCCCTCTGTTGTGTCCTTGGGAAAGGCACTTTACACATTGTTTCCTCACTCCACTCAGGTGAAAATGGGTACCTAGCTTTGGTTAGTGACATCCGAGGTTCAGTGTTGTCGAGGAAAGCCACGCCTCAAGCACGTTAAAGATCCCACCACACTTGCTGAAAAGAGACTAAGAATCTATCCAGGTGTGAGTGGTTCAAATCTTACAGTCTGGTCTCACACAGCTTGTACTTACATGAACAAATCTGGTGTGTTATGCCTAAAGGCGGTTTACCAGTTTTAAGTTGCCACTGAAGTAAGCTGCTACCAAAAAGTGACATACCATGTTCAAATCACATGATTTCCCTCAAGTCAACAGCAGGAAAGCATAAAAATACAAGAAAATATTAATTTCTTTATAGTATTACAAGAATTTAACTTTCATTTTTGACATAGCTACAGCTTTTATACTATAGGCATGGATAAAGTATGAAATATGTGATTGTCAAATATTGTCAATATGTTTCCAAACCTGTCAAATTATTATGCAGTTTATGTCATTTTTGCATTCTATGGCCTTTTAATGTAAGTTTAGATTGGGCACTACGTTGATCTGAATACCTGCAGGTGTATTCTTCAAGCTTGACATGATCAAGCTGGCCAGAACCATTAACTATTACCAACTTGATAGTTATCAATAATTTATCACAACAGATTTAGCCTACAACCAGATTAGGGCATTCCAGCCAGAGATCTAACCTCGGACTCCAGATCATTGAATGGAGAATCAAACATTAATTCCCTGGGTCATTCCAGTTGTGGTAGATTTGTTGTAACTGAAGGCGACCGCATGAGAATCTATGGGGGAAGAACGTTGCAGGTCACTTGCACTGCTGTATCAAGGCAGTAACGATATCATCATAATGGTGGCCTGAATATTTCATGAGGCTCTTTTGAGCGTGGAATTGGTTTATGACTCGGGAACAAGAGAGAGGCAGTAGCTGTCAGGGCCATGGAAACAATTCATTAAGAGGTTGTGCATATTAATTTTGTATCAGTTTAATCAGAGTCACTAGCTTTGCAGTGCAGAATACATCATGAGTTATTAGATGTTCAGTGATTGTATGCTGGGATTTTGGCTTGGATATGTATGATGTTACACTTGTGATAAGGATATAAAATCTATACTGTTTTATGCAGTAGTATTTTCTATATTTCCTACATGGCGGGTAATATGATTTTTTAGCCAGTGGGTGGAAGCTATGGTAATATTTCACTAACATAACATTCCTTATTTAAAATCTATGTTTAGTTATTAATTATTATGTTATTTAACCATCCTAGTTGTATTTTATTTATCATGAGCTCCCTTGGAAATCAGCCCTTTTTGACTGAATGGACTATCCATACCAAAGGTTAATAAATAAGTATAAATAATATAATCTGTGCATCTTAGCATGTCATTTGATACCTTGACATAGCTTCAGATGTTATCATTGCCCTTGAGTGTTTAATGGATGGTCCCTACTTGTTCACTGCCATCCCCTCAGTATATATCATGGCCAGTCCCCTGTTCAGTGTACTTGTCAGACGTTCAAAGCCGCCTACCAATCTGCTACCTCTAAACGCCTCTGCAACAAGATTCGGTTCTCGGTTTCTGCTGAATCTTTGTAAAGGCAGGACTGGTAATCTCAAAAGCTCTGTTTCCAGTGAGTTGATATAAATAGGTTACATTTTTGTTGTCGTTATCGACTTGTGATTTCATCTATTGGCAGTGAAGTGTGATTTATTAAAGGCTTGTGGCACACGTGTAGATACAAGTATTAATGTATGCACCATCTTACACATCTGGCTGTGTCCAGGTACATATATGTCATGAAAATGGATGAATGTATCTTGTCTGTAAGCAGTATAAAACCTTCTTTCCTTATTATGATCTATGTACAATGTACTTTATTAATAGCATTTTCTTTAATGGTTTCATTCTCTCATTTGTAAACCAACATCTTCTTGATACAAGTAGAAATACTTGCTTATTACAATCAATGTATGACATGATTGTGATAAAACTTGTAATTGACAGTTGCAATGTATATGTTTCATACCTTCATTTTCTTGGATTGTGATACCCCATACTTTTATGGCATTAGTACTATATAGTAGGTGTAAGTTTGATTGACAATAGCGAAGAGAGCCTGCGTACATTACACCTTGGCTTTTGGCACACGCAATCACAAAACGTACATCATACGTTTTTGTCTTAGAATGTTCTGTGAGCCCACAATACGACTAATGACCAATGAGGATCTTCAACAGGCATTTCCGTCTCAAGTCAAGAAAGCTGAATTTTGCATGGACACAAGTGTCCCCAGAATACCCCCAATTTCCTGTTGGAAACCCATAGACCCTATCATGGCATGACAGCCCTTACAATGCTAACAATGCGAGCTCGCCAGTCGCCTAATGGGAGATTTTGCACTCGTCGTTTTGCAGGTTTCCTGGGTGGGACAGACAGCAGCAGTGAAGAGTCGTGATGGCGGCACTCAGTACGATGGACAGGCACATCCAGCAGACCAACGACAGGCTGCAGTGCATCAAACAGGTAAACAGGCCTCCTTGATTGTTGTTTATTGTTTACGGTATCACCTGTGGCAAGGATGATTTTGGGACCATTGGTTTAGGAGCTGGGTTTAGTAGTACCCAGTCTGTGATTTACTAGTGTGGGGGTCCCACACACAGGTGGGCAGCAGTTGGCTAGTTTTCACATCAAGTTTGCAAATGACTGTGTCCAGCAGGTCCACACTGGCAAGGCTGCTCTCTCTAATGTTTCTCTTGTCAATAGGTTTGATTGGATAGATGTTCATAGTCTTCATATTCACTTGTGAGTAAACCTTGCAGAGCCAAGTACATGTAGGGTGCTAAATTTTGTGGGCCCCCTAGTAGCTATCCTCGGAACTGCAGTGTTAGTGAACTCTATTTTGTGGTTTTGTAATAAAGAGTGGAAGACTGCTGATATCTCTGGAATTTGACAGAAACTCAACTCTACATCAGCAATGCAAGATATGCAAGGCTAGAAGTTCCAAATTCCAGCTGTCCTTCCATATTCTTTTCCATCCAAAGCACAGTCCTTTGTTGCCTAAGTTGAGGTAACTACTTACTATGCATTTGGCACTCTTGTCATGTACTTCTATAGAAAATAACCGTTGCTAGAGTGTACACGTACAGGTCCTGGTCACAACGTCTATTGCATTGTGTCCTTGACCACCACAAAAGCGTCGCCGCAAACCTCGTAGAATCGCTGTTATCCCTTTTGTGACCAGCTCCAGCAAAAAAGCAGGCAGTAATCAAGCTTGAAAGCAATTTGATGGGTCCGTTTTCATCCGTGGTATCCGATGTTGAAGTTAGAAACCTCCACGGGTCTCTAATGGGGAGCAACAGGCGACCAAAGGTGTGGCCCAGCTTGATCTCACCTGTGATGATGGTTGGAAATGCACCTCCCTGTTAAACGGAATATGCATCGGGGACTTCGGGGGATTTGTAGGCAAACCAAGCGCCAGGGAAGAATGTCAGAGGTCAGTCTGCAATCACCCAAACTTATTTCACCAGAAGGAACGCTGGGATCCAATTGGTTTCTGGCGATGCCCCGATGGCTGTGACTTCACAGTAGACCTGCCCTTAGTTGTCTGTCGTTTGATAAGTCCACTGGCACGGATTGGCGCCTGGCGTTCACTTCGGAGTACCTGGGAAAATACATTTAATGCAAAAGTTCCCAGACAGAACTTTTAAGTGTAGAGCACTACAGGGAAAACTGTGCCCTAGAGGAAAAGGCAGTGAAAGTTATTACTATTACTTTATCGTGTAAATATGATATACTATATAAGCACATTTCATGACCACACTCACTGTCTCAGTAAGTTTGTAATAGGGACTAATAAATCAGGTGAACTTACTTAAAATTGTTTTTGTTAAAATCTATAGTTGGCCATTTGTACAAAAGGGTCATGCAAAATGAACAAAAGTCAGCCTCTTTCTTATTGACCAACAATCTCACATGCTATATTATTGAAGTCTCTCAGCTACTGCATTAAGTTAATTAAAAACAAAATCGGCTGACAAATCTATTTCTAATAGTAATAGATATTTGTGGGATTTGACTTCTTTTCTACATGAAGTGGAACATGCCCAAATGCCCAACATTTTGGTAGATTGAGGGGTTGGATGATTTAAGCAAGTCTTTGTTGATCTGTAAGTTATGGAAAGCTTGGATAAATTTGGGAGATTTGTTAGAATAATTTACTTCTTTCAGAATAATAATACTAATGGCATAAAGGTAGGTTGCGGAATATTCCGTTACCTTTTTAGTGTTCTCTCCATGCTTGAAGTCCCAATGAAAAGCATCCTGGGAGAGATGCCATGCCCCAAGATTTGTTTGAACTCAGCTACTTAGCACTTTCGTTGACAAGCGTACAATTTTAATTGCCTCTGACAGAAATTACAATTATAGAATACTGATTAAGGTGTTGCCGAAACCCCCAAGAGAACCACCAGTGCCCTGGGGTAGATTTTGCCATTTGTCACCATCTGGCTGCCAGTAATTTAAATTTAAAGCAGTGTTGTCAGATCTGGGACATCCATTCTCAATTGATCCAATAAATATGGTGCCTGATGAATAATTATGTTGTCTTGGGAGGAAGAAAAAAAGGCTCAGTATCCAACAGAAGGATGATCTGCTGAATCAAGCTTGTTTGGGTATCATTAAACTACTATAATGATAAAGCAAAACATATACTAATAATCAAATCCAAAGGACTCAAATGAAATAGCAAATTGGGTTAGGTGAAGACACTGAAATAGGAAATCCAGGTAATATCAAATGGTCAGAAAAAAATGTAGGTTGTGTTGCTATATCCAAAAGTATACAAAACATACATAATATTTAGTAGTAAGCAGGTGAGGGTCTTATTGTTTTCTACCTTGCAGTTAGTGTTTCGTTTCTAAATACAACTTATACAGTCGTTTGCACAGGTGTATTCTACCCCTAGTTAAAATGGACTTGTCCACCGCCCTAGCAGGCCTGTTCTGCTCTGATATCCCTAACTGTGTTACACCAAATGCATGTTGACGCTGTAACATCCTTATCTTTTAACCAGTAATGGACACCTACAGCACCTTGAGTAGTGGAGATGCATTAGGATGTCTTAAATGCAGTTAAAGACATATGGCATATTTTTAACTAGATTTTATTTTGGCAGAAGGTTTATGCCAGCTAAATATTACTACTCGTAATACTATGTATTTGTATTTACGTCTTTATGCTAATGCTTGTATACAAAGTGTACATGTTATGTAACAGACTGATTAAATAAGAATTTGAGTGTGGTATGGAAGAAAATACTAATCTTTCCTTATTAATTGTAGCCAGCCAGTCAACAGTAATTCTTGTTATTTGTTACCTTGGATTCTTCAAATGTTATTGAAAATTATTTGTGTAGCAAATTTTTCATTGCTACATATTTATTACTCTGCCACCAGATTGCTCCATAATCATAATAAAGCAGCGTCCGCAGACTAGTTTTTGACAGACACCGTATGAATGCCAAAGAACATTCCAAAGAAGTATTTTCCAAAACCGTACACACAAGAACAACTTACTTTACCACTAAGCGTTAGCGGCCTACCTAAATTTACTGTCCGAATGTGGCCAACCCTCCTAATTTACCGTAAAGCAGGATCCCCCAATGCAGACCCTCTTCTTGACCACCAATCTTGGCTTGTCCAGCAGGTGACTGTTGTAGCCAGACATTTCTTCAAATTTTAGGCCACACCAATTTGATTTGTTGTTTCTCGGATTTTGTCAGAAAAAATCAGGAGTGACAGGGCGAAAAAAAAAAAAAACAGGCCAAGGCACCCCATGATAGCCGGAAATGTTACAATATGAGCCATGAAGTAAACATACCAGGCTGGTTTATAATTAAAACAATTTTGAACTTTTAATGAAACAAAAAAATTGCATTGTTACATTGAAAAACTTAAGAACTAGGAAGAAAAGGGCTTTTTTCAACCATTAGGGCCAAAATATGTCTTTCAGTGAGCATTTTGCAGTTAATTTGGAACAAAAAAAATGTTTTTTTTTTTTTCAAATCAGGAAAAAAATGGACAGGGTGATCTGAGAAGCAACAAATTAAATTGGTGTGGCCTTAGCGAAAAGAAGTTGTATGCAGAAAACTCCAACAGACATCCTTGTTGATTCCCCCCCTTCGTTCTGATGGACACATCTGTTTAGAAGGGAACAAAAGGTCCTTGTGTAATGTGGTGAGAACTGTTACTCTGTCATCCCTCTGATGTGACTTTGAACTTCATTAATGGCTCACAGGTGGTGCCGGCTGGAAATGATCAGTACAAAGTCTACAGCACATTTCTGCTGTTACTAGTGTTTGAATTGAGGTTTTTGGAAGATAAGGAAATATAACGTGTAGCAGCAAGTTTAAACTGTAATTTCCAACACAAGAAATTGGACTCACCCAAATTTTTGACTGTACAACTCCAGTCTTTGTCAAGGAATGAACAATCCACCGCTTCCGTGACATCACGCAGATAACACTTACATTTTACAGAAATTACAGTTTCACCTTGCTACGTAATGACTTCTACCAACACAGATGAACTTTCAATATGAAATATAACGTGTTTAGGCACCTCACAAGGATCAAAGTCAACCAGATAAGGCCACACCAATTTAATTTGTTGGTTCTTGGATTTTTTCAGAAAAAATATGAAGCAACAGGGCAAAAAAAAAAAACAGGTCTAGGCATCCTATTATAGCCCCAAATGATAGGAGCCATGAAGTCAACACAAAAGACTGGGCTAAAATTTAAACAATGAGTTATCAAACCACTGCATTGATAGATGGAAAAACTGTAAAATCTAGGAAGAAAAGGACTTTCCTCAACTGTTGGAAGCAAAATATGAGCATTTTTTAGTTGAATCAGAACCAGAATCTTTTTTTTTTTTACAAATTAGAAAAAAATGAAGAGGCGAGTCTGAAAACCAATAAATTAAATTGGTGTGGCCCCAGGTATCTTAGATAAAAGGTAAAACAGTCATCCTCAACTGAGGAAGCAAAATGCTGTTTTAAGTAGCTCATACTATAGTGCAATGCAGCTTTCCTACAGCTCACATATGGCCAAGAACACCGCGTCACTCGTACACTTCTCATAAGTGTGTTGGGTTCTTTTACACAATGTACATGCAGAGGTTTGGTGCTTGAAGCTCCCTCGTACACGTGGCTGCCAGCTTCATGTCACCATCCAAAAAAAACAAGATTACTTGATAATATGTCTCCTTATAAGCTTGATAATACCATGGAGGTAAAAAGATCTACCTCCATGATAATACTGAATGTTAAGTTGGCATGGTGCCGAGCCTTTTCCTTGGAGAAGCACAGACTTAGTCTCCTATCAGGAAGAAGAATATCAAGAAGAATCATCTGGCTATGTGTTATTTTAGTTGACGTATTTTATTAAGTTACATGTACATGATACTGAGAAAAGATTGGATCATCATTGCAAATGTAAGAAATGTTGTTTCCAGCTGGCATTATGGGTAGATTATGCGGTACTCTTTCAGTTACCTTGCTATCTGCTGGAATAGGAAGTTATTTGATAACCCTTTCTGTACTGTGCTTCTTCCACCAATTACGACTACTACTACTACTACTACTACTACTTCTAGCTAGGATTTTCCTTTTACACAACCAGTAATGTCTCTTACATTGCTTATCAGACACCTTCCATAGAACGTGGGACTGGAGTTCAGCTTTTCGCCTTTCTGCTTTTGTAGGTGGCGCTTTTGCGGCGAGAACACAGTCCCAAACATGGCTGAGTTTGTATAGAACACCGAAATGTAAATAAAGTAAGAGACATCACCGGTTGTGTAAAAGAAAATCCCAATATCCGATGTTCTACCAACCTGATATGCTACTTCTAATCCTAGAAAAAAGAGGACAATTTATTCTTTCTTAACACATAGCTTAAAGCATAAAGTTTAGTCTTTATTTCATAATTTGTTATTTCTGTTGATCTTCTATGGCTGCTGACTTTTCCAAAACATATTTGGCGTGTGTATGAACCAGACAGGCTGTACCAGCACAGGGTGTCAAAAAAACATTTCCATTGCATCTCTATGGCCATGATTTGTTATTATTCCTTGCCAGAGTTGCTCACAGTATACTGCAAGAATGTTAACTCCCCACAATGTGCTTTTGCCACTGCCGGAATGACGGCAATTATTTTCCACCATTGATTCATCTCCGCCGGTAAGGTCAGAGGTGAGAAGCCAATAGCAAGTGGCCAGCATCACCCCTGGTAAATGGAAATTGAAATGGGATATTCATTTAGTTTGAATGCCCCTGGGTTTCCCACGATTGGCTGGCCGGGGTCACATGACCCCTGGGTGTCAGGGTTTGATGTGGAGGGTGAGGAGAGGTATTGAGCATTATCCGGGAAGACATGAGAGCGCGGAGGTGATGCTATTTCCCTGGGCACACACATTACCATCCCCCCAATTACCGTATGGTGATGAGGACGGGGAGCGAAGCGCCAGCGTTCGTTATTTAGCCGGCATCCTGGTCTTTGTGGTGGGTCACCTGCCGCGACATGTGCAGTTAGGGAGCTGCGCGGGCGAGGCGATGATCAAACTGCAGTCTGTATCACGCAGACAACAGGGTTTCAAATGTGTGACCAAAGTTGCAAGCTGAATAGAACGCAGTACTTTTGAAAGTAATGAAGGAAAACTTAATTGCACGACAATTGCACATGGTACAATTATATGGCAACAGCTATTGAACATAGAATAAAACTTAACATCCTAATCTACCATAAAGGATGCCATCAATCTTTAACATAATGTTGCAATTGAGTGGAGCTAATCATACATGAGTTTCAGTATTTTATCTGGTAACAAAGCAGCCTTTTATAAATAATTTTTGTGAATTGTGGGAGTTGTTGCATTTATAATATAACAGATTTATAAGGTTGCTACTGAAATGGATGCATCTATCGGTACATCTAATGTTGGTTTGGAACTTAACATTATGCTTAGAATAATTAGATGGAAAATTACAACAACAACAAAAAAGCAAGTCTTAAACCTTGTAAAATGTATTTTAGAAGAAACCCAATGACTTGTTGAGGTGTATCCATGTTAACTGGTGTGTATGTTTCCCACTACAGTCCTCTATTAGTATTTACAGAGCTTGAAGCCTGCACAAATTAGTCTGTGTGATGATTGCTGTCTCAAAAGGAAGTCCATGATTTGGGAGGAAAAACCCTGGCTGGCCCGCTGCTGGCCACCACCGCACTTGTAATGCCTAATGATTTTTAACTGCGGAAAAGGCGAGCTGGCGGAATAAATCTTTCAGCCCCAAACCAGGATGAATTACCGGGCTATTCCACAGTGCTGACACCGGGTCATCTTTAGTTAAGACTGATTGCGATACTTGGCATGTGTAGTTAACATTTTCTCCAAGAAAGTGCTGGTTTATGGAGGTAGAAATAAGGTTCCTGATAGAAATTACCTGGGGTATTGATTTTTCTGGTGGGGAAGATGTGGTCGTCAGATTTGGGCATCAATTTCGCAGGGGCTGATGAGATTTGTCCGCAGGTTGTGGGGAAGAGGAGGAGTTTTAGCTCGCCGGTACTTTTAATGGCCAGCATAGATACGCAGTTAAAGGAACACAGTTTTTATTTGTGTATCAGCTTAGGAGATGGAGCAAAACTTGAAGTGAAATTTGTAAGAGATGAGCCAGGAAGGGTTGCGTATACATATAGCGTTATTCAAAAACATTGCTGTAATTCAGTTTTTTTCATCAGGTACGCAGTTTGTTTATGTTTTTGTCAGTAACTGTTGTTTTCTTGAATGAGATTACATTATATTATTTTTTAATCAGAGCAAAGCGCTTCAGTTTTCCCAAATAAAACACCTGAAATATAATTATGATTGTTCATAATTAGAAGGTTAGGTCATGTATGTCCAGAGCGGATGGATACATTAGGAGAGGTCAAAGGTTTGTTTACTGTTGTCAGCTGTTCTCAACCTGTTTTCTTTGAATATTTGCAAGGCAGACCCTTGTGACTTTCTGGTACAGAAGAATTTTAAGATGAAAATTTGGGAAAGTACTTGTTTCGGTATATTTATCTACAGCCTTCAAATGGCATCTGCCAGTTACCAGTCCCTGGACTGATCCTCTACAGTGAACAAAAGGTCTAGAAACTACTGTGCCAAAAAACAGTTACTCAAAGCAACTGGATGTAATTTTGGAAATCATATTGATTTTGGAAATCATATTCCAATATTCCAATCAATTTCCAAAATCATATCCAGTTGCTTGAGTAACTGTTTTTTTTTTTTTGCGTATCTTATAACCTGGATGTCTAACCTTCACTGGACGTACCTAGAAACTCATACGCAAAACGTACCCCTGGGCTTTCCCAATAACGGCTGTTCGGGTGGTGGGAAGTATTGAACTGGAAGGACCTGAGATCTGTTTGTGGCGGTGTGTGTCCGCTGAGCTGGGAGACAGTATCGATAACAGCAGCCAGCTGCATTTTCAGATGAAGTCCCCCCAAAGCCATCGTAGATTGAGTTGTTTATCACGCTGTGAACTCCGAGATTGAAAATGGATAACGGCGTGGGGAAGGAGCCATGGACGGAATTTCAATGGAGTATTTTTTGTTGTCTGAAGTACCTGTGTGTGGTGGAATATTCTATTTAACACCGTTCAGTCACATGTTTTATACCTGTTGACATCGCACCTGTCAAGCCAACAGTGTTTTCATTGATTAGTTCTGAAATTTTTAAACTGGGATTTGAATTCCCAGCCTTTTTGATGCACAACTGACCTCTGGGCAAATGCATTTCCAGAAATCACAAAAATTAGGAAGTTAGATATAGTCTCTAGTAGTAACTATTATTGCCAGAAGATCCTGTTGTCCCTCATATGCACCAAACAGTCTGATTTCCATTTCTCTCAAGGTCATGTTGAACCCTCCAAGTATCAGCTTGATCAACACATAAATTACATGTACCTACCTTGATATTTGGATAGTTAAACTGTGGGATAAAACTTCCAAGTCTGTATTCCAGTGTTCTAGTCAGCATCCGTCATTCCATCATTTGACAGATTTTTGGTGCTGATGACAGACAAAAAGTTTGCCCAATACTTCATCTTTGACACACACAAAAAATGTTGCACAAAGATGTGGAAGCAAATGTCCTTCTGTGCTTGACATGATATTACATAAAATTTGAGATGACAAAAAAAAATTCAGGCTGGCTAGAACAATGCTAGAATTCTATCGTCAGTCTTCATTTCCCTGGGTACAAATTCGAACAGGAATGCCTGGGTACAAATCAGATGATACCTACTGGAGTTGTACCAAGCGTCTGCCAAGTATTCGGAGAGGTGAATCCATCTAATGTCTCTGGTTTCACTGTTTTGTTTTTGTTGAAGTTTCTTGAAACGCTGCCATCTGGCAAAGCTCTAGTAGTAGTTATTGAAAGGGGAATCGTTTCTCACTGGTCTTTTTATATCTTGAAAGTCAAACTAAATCTAATCCTTATATTTCAACTTGATGGTGTGCAGTTAGATTTTATTATTGCTAGTGGAAAAAGCATGATATGAGTTACATTTTCCCAATTGCTGGACCATGTTTTCTGATGAGTTTGGTCTTGGAAGTGACATTATTTGATTTTTCCTGCAACAAAAGATTTAGACAAAAGATATGTGTCACCCTTTGTTGTTTATCTCTCAAAAGGTTGAATATCATATTAATATTTGTGAATTTCAATAACAATGTTGTTAGAGTCTTTGGAGTCCCAGATGAAATAATAGGTACTTCAAAAAATAACCTTGAAAAAATAATGGATGCTCTCACATGACTCTTTGAGTCTATTCACGTCATAATCTCAGCAGGCCACCTACACTGTTTTCGGGGTTAACGTCAATTGTGAAGGGATATCAAAATGCCTATGAATAGAATCAGCGTGGGTTGTCTCCCAGGTATTCTTATCATATTGTAGTAATGTATATTCATATTGCTGTAGCTTGAGCAAGTATTATTTCTCAAATTACGAGGAAAAAACATTTGTGACATCCAAAACTTGTCAATATTGTGTGTGAAGTCAGTAGTAAAAATATAATTATTGTTTTAAAATAGATAAACGTAAAAAGCGTATAGAAATATGCAGGTACAGTTCCAAAGAGTGTTGGTAGGGGGCCCAATATTTCATCATTTGGGCTCAAAAAAGAGACACTAATTTTCACCAGTAATACTACTGATTGCCACCACATGTATTTATTTGACACTGTATGTACATCTGTATGGTTTTTTTTTGTATGGTTTTGTTTATCTATATAAAGTTTGAAAAGTAAAAAATCTTAAAAATTGTAAAAAAAAATTTAAAATGTTCATCCTATGTTTCCCTGTTTCTGCAGCAACTCTCTACGCCGCAGGGTTTTCAGAATGCAGCGCGAGAGCTGCTGGAATGGTGCGCCGACCCTCGTGCATTCCAGAGACCCTTCGAACAGAGCCTGATTGGCTGTTTGACGGTAAGTCAACCCTCCTCTCTTACCTGTTTAGTATGTTATAAATAAACTTTGTTACATAGCAGTTGTACAAGGTACAATGTATGGCATCTACTACTATAAAAACAACAAACACACTACGAGACAAGTTTTCTAGCCAGTGTCCGTTGTTCGGTCATTTGACGGAATTTTGCTGCCCAAAAATTTTGCCCAGTCCCTTGTCTTTGATGGACAAAAATTGGCATTAAAGATATGGAAAGAGATGTCTTTAAACTGATATCAAACATCAAACGAAGTTGAGATGACGAAAAAAGTTTTAGGTTATAAGGGGCCATTTTTTGTCCAGATGTTATTGTATTATTATATACTTATAGGTAACCTGCTAGGAAACAAGTTTCAACATTCTGGCATTATCATCTCTATAGTCTTCTCAACATGTTATCCTTGTCCTTGATGGCTTCTTATCATCTTATGTAGTGCTGTATTTTGCAAACGTCACTTTCTAATATACAACACACACATACACACACATTTGTAATGTGTTGAGATTTGATAGAGATCTTATTCCAAAGCTCAAAACTTGCCATGGCAACAGTTCCAGGTCAGAGGTTGTGTGTCCTCCTCCTTTGTTCCTGTTTGGCCTGTCTGGTTGTCATGGCAACAGTGATGTATCAATCCCTGCTTGTGGAGTGACACTATTGTGTGTGCATGTCTGGGTCCCTGTCATGGCCTGGCTTCCCATGCCTCAGCGTGGCCCCGTGCTTGGGACACAAAAGGTGTCCTCCACCCCATGCCGATGTGAAGAGGCCTTCTCTGGCACATCCCAGTCCTGTAGTGTTAGAACTCTGGTATAGCACCTACACAGAGGAAAAATAAATGTGCACAGTGCTTCCAGAAGGCCACACCAATCTATTTGCTTGGTTTTGGGGACATTTTGAGGTATAGTATAGTATAGCAAGCAGACATCATACAAGTAGAAGGCATGAGGGATGAACAAGAGAAGAGGACAGGAAAGAAAATTGAGTATTACTGTATTTACTCCTGAACATTAATTTCACCAAGGCATAACTCTGGTCTACAGGGTTGCTATATGTGTAATTTTCCAGTTACCGGTAAGCATATTTTTTTCTAAATCCTAGAACTAACTAATCAAATTGCTATGTCCTAGAGGGAACATGGTAGCTACCACTGCTGATCCCTATTAGATGGGGGAAAAAGTGAACTAATCTCCAGTGATAATATTATTACTGTAAATACATCTAATTTTGTGATGGTCATCTTCTGTAGTAGGAGGGAAAATTAGGTTTTTGCAGCTCTTAAAACAATTCTGTATAATTCAATACAGTAGCACGCAAGGAATACATATTCACGCTGTCATTAATTTGCATTGATAGCGAAAACAACAAAGATTAAACCACCACTAAAGTTTCTCAATTTACAGTAGTAAAAAGCTCTGAAAATGTAAAAAAAAGCTTTGAAATGAGATCCAAAAATCAAATAAACTTTGAAAGTGCCTTTCGAGTCTATATACTGTGGAGATACCTTATAAATCTGGCCACAAAACTTCATCTGATTGAAGGACAGCTAAACTTTATGGTTGTCTCTTATTGTTGCCCAACATAATCATTAGATTGATGACGATGATTATCATCGTAGCAGTTACTCATTAAAGGTTTAGGGATATCTGAGAAAGCATAAAGCAGGTAATGATGTTACATCAAATGATACAATCATTGGACACCTGCAAATGGAAACCTCAAGTATTAGTGGGAAACCTGAAGTTAAATCATTGTTTAACCGTGACTTTTAGTGTTAGCGATCTTTAGTTATCTCGAACCAGTTTTTGCTCATTGAAGAGCTAATCTTCCACTGGTCGTGACAGAGAAGACAGACGCTATGTACAGTATTTACAGGTTCATTTTACCAGGGAAATTCCCCTAGCTCTTTTCGACAAGCACAATGAACAGTGGACCACAGCTTAACGTCCCGTCCTAAGGACTGCGACCCTAAACAGTAGCGTGCATGTCGGGTGAGCGACAACAGCCGGGGTTTGAACTCCCAACCTCTTAGTCCAGAGACAGGATCGCTAACCACTGGACTACACACGCTACTCTGAAAAGGTGTTTCCAACCCTGCCTTTCTGTAGCTCCTTATGATCACACACAGCCAAACATGGCCTCCGGAACATTGCCGAACTCCCCCCAATAATGGTTAAGAGAGGGTTGGAAACAAAGTTGGCTGTGGTTGGCTGCGCCAGCTGAGTATTTCAAAATGTTGAAAACATTTGAGTGTGGACGGGAGGTTCAGCCATTTTAGCTGGTGGTTTGCTGAAGTTTTGCAGTAGGTTGGCAGTGTTCAGGGCATGTTTGTGGGTCAAATTTGACACAAATTTAACTTAAATTTGATTTGAAATGCAGTTGTGGTCTGAATCTGAATGGACTGCTCCTGAACTTCAGTCAAACTTGGTTGGTGGTGGTTCACTGGGGGAAAGTTCTGAATGTGTGACAGCGGCTTGAGGCCAGTGTTCCCAGCCAAGTGAGTCCCCACGATCTATGTGGGGGGAACATTGTATACTCACCTGGCCCTCTAAACGTACTTCAAACAACTCGTGCATGCAATTGGCAAAATAATTGGTACCCGGGATAAAAAGGACAGGGTATCCCCGCACCCCTCCTCCCCACTTTGTACGGTAGGTCGAGGAGGCCCTTTGGAAAGTAATGCTGGTTGTTCATAGCGACACCATGGCACGGACAAAACAGACGCAAAATATGCAACTCCACCCCTGCCTGAACCTGTGCTATATCAATCTGCACATTACTGTAGATAGTTTGAACATAGTGCCATGACAGTCTGTCTTTTTCTTGTGGTCATGTTTTATAAAGTAGCACAAGG